AAGAATTTAAAGCAACCTCAAACTTAGGAGGCTGATCTTAATCTATATTATAAAAATTGTTAAAATTGTTAAAATTATTAATAAATATCAAATAATTATCTAATAAGCTTTTTTAAAGGAAACTTATTGAGTTTGAAGTCTGATTTAACTCTTATTATATCAAATTCCTATTAAATTTATAAATAAATTCTTATTAAACATTAATAAGGTTAATGGGGTTTTATTACTATAGGTTAATCGGAAGATAAAAAGTAAGAGACAAAGAGAGGTTAATTGGAATTCTTACAAAATTTTTTTTTTAACATCAAAATGTAATATTTATTAAAAAAGGAATTATAAAGGGTACTCAAACGCATAAACATCCCAACTTAAAAGGCATAAATTTACAAAAGTCGAATAGCCCTTTCTGATATATTAATACAAGAGCACTTCCAAGTTATTAAAATATTTCAACCTGCATTCTGTCCACACAGAACAGGAAAGAGAAACTTTGATTTTGGATGCTTACCGTATGGAATCGATACCAAAATTATGTGTTGACATGCGTTCCCTCCTTTGCAATTTCTTAAATGGTAAAATAGCACTTCTGGTCCTCCATATTTTGCATAATGAGCATTAGATCCCAGAACTCAAGATTCATTCATTTAGGTCCACAAGATGACACCTTCCTTCTTACAATTTAGTCCCTCAAAATTTAGAAGATGTTCATTTAAACCCAAAACTCCTATTCTTATGCATTCACGTCATTTTCTCTTTTAGACAATTTTTTGGTGTTAATAGCCAATCTGTCAATGAGCATGACCAGTTCTTGCTCTTTGCTTTCAACCATTCCCATGATCTAATTTGGATGCAGTTAAACACCCTTTGAGCATCTAGTTCCTTCCCTTTGAATACACAACTATTTCTAGTTAGCAATAAAGACCAAACATACGCAAACCAAATAGTCTCCCATCCTTTTAAAAGCTTCCTATCTTCAATTAGTCTGAGATGTTGAGAGAAAGCTTCCCAACAAGTTCCTGGTCTAACTTATTGCATTCCCCACCACTTCAAGCACATGCCCCATAGGGAATATGCAACTCGACAATGTAAGAATAAGTGGCTGGAGGTCTCGACTTCTTCTTTACATAGGGAGCATGATGTCATGTTGTAGTTATTCAAGACCCCCCTCTTAAATAGCTCAAATTTAGTTGATAATTTATTTTGGATTAACTGCCACACCATAGCATTAACTTACTTGGGGTCAGTGGATTCCAAACTTTCATAAAGATTTCTATGTCAGCTCCATGGTTTGAGGCTTTCAAGAGTCTGTAGGCCAAACTAGTAGAGTATCCATGGATGTTGTCCAACTTCCAGTCCCATTTGTCTTCAATCCCTTGTCTACATTGGGATGAGGAAATATCACCAAGCAAGTCTGATTCTAGTTTCTCCTCCCATTCTCTGAGATTATGCCTCCATTTTAAGTCCCACTTCCAGGGGCCATCAGGCCATGTGCCCATTTGGTTAACCATATTTTGTTAACCATATCTTATAAATTCTTATATTATTGTTAAATATTGTACTGCACAAATTTTTTTAGATATACATTACGCACAACGTTGTTTTATACATAAGGCAACTTCCATCATATTATAATTCCATTTATAATTCTATTTCAATTATATATTCCACTTCAATATGAGTTTAACAACTTCTGTTATAATTCAATCTAACTTCTAACTAAATATATAAAGAAGTGATCTACTTATATTTAAGTTTTACACGTTTTACTTATACAAAATTCCCATAAAATTCTCAATCACTTTAACCTCTTGCCTTTGCTCAATCATCACATAGGCATGGAAAGGAACAGGGAATCAAAGACTTCATCGGCACGGGGTACTTCGGCCGCAATAGCATTTGTTTCGTATTTAATTAGAAATTGAATTGAAATCATAAGTAATAAATCATGAAAATCTGAATTTAATTTGAATTTGAATTAAAATCTAGAAATTGAATTAAATTTGGGTAATATATAATTTAAATTAAAATATAAGACTCCCAAGCTTTAGCAAGTTTTAAACTACTAAGAGAGACCCACTAGCTATTTATCTGAGATTTAATGGAAAATTTTTAAAGATTTATTAGAGATTTTAAAGGATTTAATAGGTATTTATTCAAAATTTATTGATAAATATAATAATTTTTATAA